TCCATATCCAATCCACATAATGCTTTTACTGAAAGCAACGTGGCACCATAATAAGCCAGACATCTTTTATCCCATGATAATAACAAGAGAAATGGTCACTACATTTCAGAGGGAAGGCAATTTAAAAACTATAATGGAACAAGTGCCCAAAAGAAGTATCCTCAAATTCAGTATTAACAAGATTTCAAAAAGTTGTCTTTGCCCAATTTTGCCTGCAGAGTAAATACTAATGCTGCTGTTGCTGAAAACATGGAAATGATTATGGTAGTCAAAGTCAAGCCTAAAATCTAGGCATAGTTAGCCATGAGACTCAAGGCCCTAAAGTGCACAGAAAAATATCTAAAGGGTTGGAAAGCAAAAGCATCTTTCTTCAAAACTCATCCACTGAATAAAAAGTGAAAGACTGCAATAACAGGCAACACACTGTTTTATTTCATTTCTATACCACCCAACATCCAAAGCTTTCTTGACAATTTTCAATAACAATTTCTATAAAATGCAATAAAATTTATAAATAGTAAAAGCACAAAATTCCTATTCAAAATTTAAAACAGAAGGTAAAGACACATGGAAGCCTTAAACTCACTATGTTTCATTGAGTGTATTAAATCTATACATTGATCTAGTGTACTAAATGTGCAGACTGATCTGTTTAATCCAACCAATTTTCACTGAAATATGGCTATTTCTAGACATGTTTTAAATAAGAGGTATTTGTTTACTACACAGACATCAGAGCATTTCTGAATTGCTAAATAGGGTTTGCATTAGTATTATGAAGGATGGCATCCAGATTCTTGCAACCTTCAATAAGAGTATATAAATAACCCTTCCTTGTAACAAAGATAATCCTTTAAAAAGGAAAAGCTTATGCCTGAAGGCTCAGACAAGGGGCCTGGGAAGGTTCCAGAGGGTCATGGTTGCTGAGGAACATTAATTAATATGATACCCATTGCTCTCCAAAGAGCTTGGCATCAACATTCAACCATTTGTCAGGCAGTGGCTTATTATCTATTAAATTTTTATTCCACACTAATAGTCCCATAGGACTCTCTATACAGATTACAACAAAACAATTTATAACAATGAATAATGAAGTAAAATCACAATATACTAATAAAATAATAAAACAATACACCTGGCCCTTAAGATTGATTTAAGGGTCTTACCTTACCTTTCCACCAAGATACCGTTTTGAAGGAAGGTTCAAGCACTCACAAGCATTAGTTAAATAAACTATTCTAGCTTAAGTCTGCTTGTAATTTTTACCCATATATCAAGTTTGATTTAAGATAAACACACATTTTGCATAGCCTATTTCATCTATACAAAACAGGTTTAGCCTACTTGCCAATGTGAAGTTTGGCTTTGTAAAAGCATCGTGTGGTTTTGAATTTGAGATTGCTTCCAAGACCCTACATGTGTGTGTCTAACTCAGGCAGAAAGAATGTATAGTGCAAATTCTGGAAATAACTTGGGAGACTAAAAATTTTTATCTCAGCACTGGACTGAGTCTCAGCACAGACTGAGACAACAGGCATGGAACTTGTTCTCTAAGTTAGGCAAAAGAAACACTAGTGCTACTCTGAATTCAGATCTGTGGAGACAAAATCAAATTTATGTAGAACTGCAGGAACTAATGTCAAAACCTAATTACACAAACTCTACAATATTGTAAAATGTGGGGAAGAAACTGAACCTGATTCAAGGCACAAACAATAATTATCTGTAGACAATTATGAAGGAGGCATGCTATATCAAAAAAATTGATAAACAAATCTCACTGCACAACAGATAGACAGAAAAGCAAGAAAAGGACACAGAGAAGAAAGAACAAGTTTAAAAAAGCAATCCAGCTTTTTAAAACACTCAACTGTAATCAGTTGCTTAAGTAACAAGTTTTGTATGAACTAGATGGGAAACAAAAAGCCGAAAAAGGAACTTAGAAAGCAATGTTAGGAATAACAAAGCTGTGCTCCACTACCACAAATCAAATTACAAAGATGTTTTCTCTATATCACCACCTACTCATCAAAAAAGAAAAAAACTGACTTTTATTCTTTTAAACTACTATCAAAGCAGATGTCTGCATGCAATTATACGTCCATGCACACCAAATGCATACTTTGGGCCACCAGATGTTGCTGACTATGATTCCCATCCCCACCTAGAACTAATTATCAGAAATGCTAAAAAGTGAAATCCAACAACATCTGGCAAGCCAAGTTTAGCTTAGAATGAATCTTTCTTGAATATCTGAAAGGAGATGGGGAGGATAATCAGAGCTTTTGCACTTCTAGCTGCTGCGGACTTCATGAAAAAGCAGGTGTATGCTTTCAGTTCAGGGGGCCAACTCTTAGATGCAAAGGAAGGTACCTTTGCACAAAGACATTGTGCACTGTACAGAAGCTGACCCATCACAGGTATAGGTACTTAAAGCACAAACTCATATCCATTTCCATTAAATCCAATTAAAAATAGCATGATAGAATTACAGGGAAACATAACAAAAACACACTACAAATGAAAATGAACAGTTCAAATTACAACTAAAAAATCTAATGCTATTGTAAGCATTATCCTTAAATCTATTTTAGCACACAAATCATTAGTGTATCAAAGGAAGTATACACATTTTGGTAAAAAACCAATCATGCCATGTCAAGATGTCAGATGAATTGGAAAAAAAAACCATCGTTATACACCCCTCATATTGTAACGTGTGCAGGCTTGATTACATTCTTTTAAATTAATAGTACATACCACTGCAATTTCATGCAGGCATGGATTTTTCTTTCAAAAGGAAAACAGAGTTAAAGGAACTCTCGACCACCAACCGTGAGGGAAAAATTAACTCACTGGAGGTTTATGACCTGCATCAAGTAGTTTTTACTAAAAGGACAGTCATTTAACTAAGATGTTCCTATATCTGGTATGGAAAGATAAGACTTTTCAATTGCTTAATGTGTCTTTATGTTGCAGTTTCAAGCTCACGGTTATTTCAACAGCACACATTTTTCTAGTTTTTGCACCATTAGTTATACATTCTATACTAGCCTCCTCTCCACTTCCCTTAAAGATAGCAGCTTATCCTATTACTAAGAGCTGTGATTAATGCATTTTCTTTTTTTTTAATATTCAGATAAAAAAAGAAATTCTTTGCAACAACTTGACATCTCAATTTCTTGACATCTAAAAACAATGTCCTTCTTGAGACAAAAATTCTGGTGGCACAAGATGTGCCTGATTTTAAATAGCACTCTATAAAAATGAAATTAGCAATAAAGATGTTAACAAAATAATCTTGATAAGTGTACTTTTCTGCCTAGAAAACAGTTTTATTCTTCTTCCATTGCTCAATTATTGTATCTTCAAATAAAAGAAATATACTCAAGAATTTCCTGCAGAGTAAATACACAAATGTTAGAATGCTGTGCCATTTTTATCCATTCATTTACTAAAAATTCATGAAGACAGTGCACAGCAATTCAAATCAATAAAACTTTAACATATGAAAAAACATTAAAAAGTTATAACATCAAAACTATGTAATTTTAAAGATCTGATTTTAAAAAATGCCATCACATATGCTTACTAGAAGCCAAAGGAGTGGAGATCTGGAAGGACAACATTGTAGTTTGGGAACAACAAAGGAAAAAGCCCTTTCATGAAGTTCTGACAAATGAACTTTTGTAGGTACTGGTGTCCTCAAAGGGGCCTGTCCAGCAGATGGGATTACTCGTAGATTCATAATGTGGCAGGTGGTCCTTTAGACAACCAGATCCGAAGCCTTTGATCCTGGAAAGCAAGTGGTCCCCCAGTGCTGTCCTCACAATTCAGTATAATGTGCTGCCACACAGTCCACCAATTAGCAGCCTAGTACTGTAACTTCTGGATGCTCTTTAAGAGCAGCATCACACTAAGCGCACTGTAACAGTTTAAATGTGATGAAACCAAGGCATAGGTAATTTCTGCCTAGTCAGACCAGTCCTAAAAAGGGGCACCAAGCATAACTGGGCAAACACATTACTTCAAGAGTGTCAACATTTTAGCGACAAAAAGCAAGAGAGTTGGGTGCCATCAGCATGTTGGTGCCACCAGATTACCTCTCCCAGCAGTTTCATGTACATGTTAAATAAGAAAAGGGATAAAACAAAATCCATCAAGACTTTAGTTGCTTATACACAGCAACATACAAAACATAAACAATCTACACTGTTGACAATATTAGAATAGAGCAAAATTCTGGATTAAGCTCTTGAAGTAGTGAACCTAAGAGTCACTAAGAAGTACAATTTAGCATAGCTTAACCAGGCTGCCAATTAAAATCCCTTCTCTGTGAAGAACAGAGAACAAGCTTAGATTCTTCAGAGTGAATCATATGAAGTAAATAGGTTTTGGAGCAGTAGGCTGTTTGATTTGAAGTGTTTTAGACACTGCTGATCTAATAAAATACAGTTGATGAATAAATCTTGCCTGATTATAAAACATTAAGTCAATGTGGTAAGAGTAGATACACTATTCTCCGACCTATCCTTCCACTTCCTGAGGTTTTAAGTGATTCTGGAATTTTTTAAATCTATTTTTGAATGCATTCAACTAAAGCTATGACAGATAAGGGTTTAACTGCAGATGTATATTTTTATCTCTCTGGCTGGGTTAATTTCTGCTCATTCTCATATAAAGCTCCACAGTAAATCCCCTGAGTCCATTGCAACTACTGCTTTACAGTGTTGAATTCTGCCAACAATCTGCTCAACATTTTAGCAGATGTTTCTGCATGTAGGCCTTTGAGACCTTTATTGGTTCCACTTCCTTTCCAATCTAAAAAGGGTATACATTTAGAGTCACAAAGTTTACATTCTCAGACAAATGTATATTTCTTTTCACTTTGACCCTTAATCCAGAGATCTCATGAATACTGAAAAGATAAAGGGTCACAGAGATGAGCTAATTTATTTCATGTACTTGTTAAAAACTGGGATTTTTTCTAAACATACCTCAGTAACATCCATGACTTTGATCGCTGCCAATTGACCTGTCTTGACATGTCGACCCTATGAAAGCAAAAACAAAAAAGAATGTTAGAGTCATTTATACATTAAAAGACAGACCAAGTAAAAGTTATCGTTTTCCCACATCTTTGCTTACTCAATGTTCTTTATTATTTTCATATTAAAGGTGCAAAACATGGTGGATCTTATAAACAAAAGATGTACATTTCAAATATTTGGAGCCAGACACAAGTAATTCATCTTCATATCATTTGGCAAGACTATAAATGCATTATTGTTCTATCTTAAATCCACAATTTAATTGTTAAATACCACTGAAACATTTGTATAATCTTCATTCAGATTCAGGTAAAGACTTTTTTTCCCTGATGAAATCTACAAATAAGGCTATAGTTAACTGACAAAAACCTGCTGGGTTATGTATAAAGCAGGCTAATAAAACACCAATGCAACAATCCATTGCACAGGGTGCTTCTCAGTATCATGAAAGAATGTATCCATTTTATTGTCCCAGTACCAGTTTATTAACCCACAGTGCTGTTTTCACAATCCCTATCATTAAGGCTACATTGTGCACTGAAAAATAAGATCGGAACAAAAAAGTGAAACATTAAAGGGATCCCTAAACACTGGTAATCTAACCAACTGCTTTTTCTCCATAACTACCCAGGCAGGCAGAGAGCAGAATGCTGCTTCAAGTAACTTTTAGCCAGGCAAGTGGAAAACCATGAAAAGCGGTCAAACAAATGTTATGATTTGTTATGAGAAGAGGCTGTTTTTCAGTAGCTACTTTATGAACCGGCCAATATTTAGATACCAAGAAGGTGACTAAGTTACGGCCTCTTTTTGCAGGAACCAAGTAGCAGAGAGTGCAAACGCACAGCTTTAGCTCTCACTGAAGTGGAACAGAAATGAACATTTTGTTGGGAAAGGACACATGAGAAAATTCTCGTAGGATCTCAACACACAATGCTTTTCTACAGTCTCAGCTCAAGAAATCACATACAAGTTATCAACTGCAGGTATGACTGTACCCAAAGATAAGATAATTTAGGTATCCTGGTTTACTTCTACTAATGAGGGCAAAAACAATCTAACAGCTGTGCATAAGTGACCTCTTCTCTGTTTGTGGGCATAACATTTTCACTGTCTGCTAGCTCAATGTTTCTCAAACCAACTAAAATGCAATAATTCTAACAACTATTGCAACAATTGCTGAATTATTAGCAGGTTGGGTGCCTTTTTCCTTTTTTGCTTTGTGTACCACGATTTTCACATTAAAGAAAGCGTACAGCTGGGTGCAGAACTTCAGGCCTGAAGGCTCAATCCTAGAATTTCTCAAAAGGCCATCTTTCATTTATCTAATCCAATACAGAGTGTGATGAGCACCTGAAATCCCATATCCTTTCCACTGTGTACTGCTGTAGCCTCACCTATCCACAGAGTGCCATTACACAAGAAATGAGCAAACCTGCCCTGGAAAGAGAAACATGGATAAATGCATTTCCATTTGCTTATAAATTACTCTAGAGGACTACGAGAGACAGACTTAAAGGACCCCTCCCTGCTGATCCTACCAGTTGCAAATCCTCTTTCAGCTCCTCAAAAATGTTCTTCAAAGCTATACAGTTTGAAGAACAAAAGCAAATGCTTAATGCCCCTTATTTTCCTGGAAAATTATTTCTACAAGTAGGACACAGTTTCAGTAACTGAGGCTCAGAAGCAGGGGTAACAATGGCCTCCAAGGGCAGTTTTGTAGGCTTTCAAGAAGCAATTTTCTGACAGGTAAGATAAATGGAGGTTCACAATTAAAAAGAACTTTTATTTGATACAGCAGTGCTAAGTTTTGCAAACACCTTTTATTGAAGTCTGCATCTCAAGATTTTAAAAGGCAGCTATTACCTATAAGTATTATAAGGACAGCAGAACCTTCAAGTAGGAAACCACACCTTGTTCTTGACTACAGAACTTTGTTACCACAATGACACATTTGCAGACAAAAATCCTTCCCTTTCTCCAACTTGAAAATCTGACAAAATTGGGCCCTGTAACCTCATTGATTGGGTAATTTAGCTATCACTCATTCCGGCATGCTTCATTTTGTTGCATTTTGTACAATCTATAGTGACTTGGCTTTTTTATCTTCTCACAAGTCATGGGGGAGGAAGGGAAGAGAAAAACACAGAACTAAAGAAATGATTAAACCGAAGGCACAAAGTCTGCACTCAGAAGAGCAAGAGACTTACTCAGAAAGGAACTACTTGTCCCTTTCATTCTTTACATGTGCTGTTTGTTCAGCTAACATCTCCAGCTAATTAAAAGTTACAGTTTGTGCTTTAAGATTTGCATAAATTAGGGGAGAACAGAAAGAAAAAGAACACTTTATTAGGAAGGCAAAGATAAGTATTCCAAGTATTTCAAGATAGGAATCACTGTGTGGCCTCCACTCAAGATGATATAGTTTTCCTCATATTCACACCCTCCAGTATAATTAGCATCTGTACTCCTGCTTCTCAGGGAGGGAGGAAAGAGGGGTGAGCACAACCAAGGAGCTCATGGTTTCTATAAAGCAAAGTGCACGGAAGCAAATATATCATTCAAGGACATGAATGGATCTTCAGTCACTCATCCCCACCCCACTGCCACAACTGAAGCCCCTTAGGAAGAATTATGTCAAGCTACAGGAGGGAAATGAAGACTGTGGGAAGTGTACAATTCCCACTGTCCCAAACTGAAGAAAACCATTACAACTCTTATTTTAAAGCCACACAAAATTCTTGTGCTATATTATATGGGGCATTTGAAGGGAGGAGGGCAAAAAACTGGCTACTTAGAAACTATGAAACTTGTAATAGCCACTAAAATGTTCTATACTATTTATTAAAGCACTCACTTTACTCATACTTGCCCATGTCACACAAGCAATTGGCACAGTGAAATTCTCCTTACCAAAACAGAAACAGCAAAAGCATCCGTGATTTCTGTAACATGTTGGCCTACAAACAAATGTTGCTGTTAAAGACATTCTTAGACCCATATCAGTGGAAAGATGTTTCGAAGCCAACAAACTCTGCTAAAGAAATTAATCATATCTGGGAGAAGACCTGTGTGACCTGCATTGCTACTGACCTCTCTCTATATAGTGAGTCATATATGTCCCATTTTGACTGGCTCTTACATACATACAACTAGCCATTACAATGCAGGTAGTCCCCAGGCAATGCAGGTAGTCCCCAGGCAATGAACAACCTGTACTTATGAACACATAGACTGCCATAAAGCCTATATGAATCTCTCTAATCAAAAGCCATGAATATCTCTAGGAAACTAGGCGACACAACATTAGTGGTTGCATAGTTCCTAGAGATACTCAGTTTTTTCTAGAGATAGAGATTCACTAGAGCTAGTCAAAGCTATCTCTAGAGAACTATACAATGTATCTCTAGGGAACTCTGTAACATTGCTTGGCAACACATTATCGGTCGTAGCCTAGTTCCCTAGAGATTGAGTATTTGTGGCTTTTTGTTCCACAGCATCGACTCAAGTGTACCAAAGCCAGTGTGTTCCAAGGCACGTGTACAGCATGTAGTTCCCTTTTGGTTCTTCTGAAGCCTTTGCTCTTGTAACCAGGCCCTCAGCTGCTACAAGGCCATTAATGATGAGAAAAAGAAAATGGCTGCACAAACAGCCCTTGAGGTCTACTTCAAGAAACCCACTCCAGCAGTACAATCAAACCCTGACTCTTCAGGCCCAAGTCCATCTCAATAATGTTCTAAACTGTTTTAGAACTGTTTTAAGAACCATTTCTTTTATTTGCTTTTAACAATACTTATACCTACACACACATACAGATTCTCTCTCATCAGTATCTGTAGTTACCTTATTATTACTGTATTATCATTGTTACAATACTATATTGTGTTTAAGATGTTTCACTCAATATGGAAGTGTTTATTAATTGTTTTATATGCATGGAAAGATAAAACATATACCTATATTTAGACACACATTTGGCTTACTCATCTGATCTGACTTACATACAAATTTGACTTAAGGATGTTCTCAGGAATGAAACTTGTCCATAACCTGCGGGCTACCTGTATTGCTATTGCTGCAATGACTTCTTGCTGAGACATTATTGGGGCGGGGGGGGGGGGGACTTGCACACTAGCCAATGAAAAGAAGTTATGTGAAACCTCCAGCACAAAGAGGCTCTGTATCCCACTTGGGTCCTCCTACTTGTATCTCTGATCTCAGATCAGAAGTAATTAGAGAGATGAAGGCAGTTGCCCAGCAGCGGAAGAAATATCCACCCTTTGCAGTGCTAGCCATATGGCTTCATACATTGTGCACTTCCCTGATCCTATAAAGTATGCAAATAAATTTCATACACACACCTAAATAGTGTCAATGATCAGTATAGAACTTCAGAGTTTTGTATCTTTCGCACAAATTCACAACTGACCTGAAAATCCAATTAATTTTTCCTTTGGAGAAAGTACTCTAAAATCAGGCAGCATACAACATACACTGATGGGTCAAAACAAAGGAGCTTGCAGAGACTGTGGCTCAAATATAGCCAACAGTAGATATTATTAGCTCTGTTAGCTATGGTTAGGGGCAGAAAAATAAAATCAAGAGTAGCATGCAAATACTGTGTATTGATCAACCAGATGGTAAAGGAGGAACACCCAAACACATTCAAACTAATCTTATAGCCAGATCTCCCTGTATTGCTTTTATATGGTAATGCCATTGAGCCATAATTAGATTTTCCATAATGCAACTTGCTTAAGTAGATCCTGTGATGTGGAATCCTACCAGCCTTAGGCAAATGCATTTTATGCACTACCACATTACTAAGATACTAAATGGTGATAGCAGTTTGCCTTTGTGCAAATTAACCTATTATTTCAGATTATTCTCATCACTGAGCTCCTTTCTGATGGTGTCCCCATCTCACCTGAGAAATCTTCCCTGAGGTTTTCTGGGAGAGTAATGGGAAATACAAGGGTTTTATTTTTTTGTTTTTGCTTCTCAGT